TAACCTGAAATTGTAAAAACCCCAAACCCCTCCATCCTAAACCCCTGAGCCTCTCAGAAACTCCACTTGGAGGGTCAGGGGGACCTAGTAAGTAGGTTAATAACCCCTATAACTATAACCTATACAGTAACCCTGCTTCTCCCCATTATTAAACCTGCTTACAAAGTTTCGCTGGCCCTTAACCCTAAGTCCTAAATGATATTGTAGTTTACGTTTCCTTTTCCATTATTACTAAGCCCCCTTGACACTCCAAGTAATCCTTTCTGCTTGCCAGCCCTGGGTCCATTGAGAGTCGTGAGTCCTTTCACCTGGGTCTTGAATTGATGGGGAAGATTTTTGGGAAGCTTGCCTCCAAGTGGACGGCCCTTCAGGCTATAACAAACATTCCAACTGGTGTCTGTTTTTGTACTAAAACCACAACAAGAAGGTCTAATTTGTTCGGGCATGTTCGGGCCGTTTGTCTGGGCTTCCAGCATGAACATGAGCGAGCGACTCATATGAGATTCTCGCGGCTGCGGAAAAAACTCAGCGAGGTACAGGGGAGCCTGTTGAGGGTATACCTTCAGGCCACTAAGTTGCAGAAGCTACCCTTCAACCTTAACCCTTAACCCTTAACCCTTTAACCCTACACCTTAAACCCTAAACCCTAAACTTTAAGCCCTTTAACCCTTATCCTAGGCCTACTCCAGCCCAGACCTACCCATCTACCCATCAGCCTCCTCCCTCTGGAACAGCCCCCTTGTAATAGCTCGGGGGTTTTCCAAAATTAAAGTCCCATTTTGGCATCCTAAATACTAGGCGCCGTCATATAATCTATAACCAACAGGTACCCGTTATTTTGTGAATAACCCACATGGAATCTCTGTGGAAGACTGGAAGCGTTTGATTAAGTGAAACACAGCTGGTATCAAGAGTAGCTGGGTCAAATGGCACTCTTTATCTGGACGCCTCTCCCACAACCTGAAGCCAAAGCTTAAAACCACTGGGTTGCCATTAAGGAATTTGAATTATTAAGTTACCATGATGGTAATATACAGAAATTTATAAGGTTTTCCCCAATATAGCAACTGAAAAAATACTTTCCTCAACAGCAACCCAGACCAGGGCATGGCCAAGTCACTTTTTCAAAATCTTCCAGGCACGATGGGACCTGGCGTTGGTCTTTGGCTGTAGTCTTCAGCAGTCTCGTGCTGGGTTTGAAGCCTTCTTTGTCTTGAGTTCTCCGTGAGCCTCGTTGTATCAGGACTTGCTGACCTGGGGCTGGGAAGTCTTAAAGGGCCAATCATCATCGGGACTTCAACTGTTGGGGCCGAGGGTCCTGGGATGGCAGCTAAAGCTGAAGCAGGTGTAACCACCTCTGCATGTTACTTGGAAAGGTGGAGTAGTAGAATGTGATGGGCGCTTTTCGGAGAATGGGGATCTAGCTGCCTCCAGGCAGCCAAGACTCAAGCGTGCAGCGTCAACTTACAGCCCACGCGCCTCACCACATCCGCGAATAGGGCCGATAAATGTGTCCTGAGACGAGCTGCTTGTGGCTTAAGGGTTGCGGATGTCTGTCCGGAAACTTTGGAGCACTCAAATAGTCTATAATCCGTACGGCTTCTGACTCTCACGGAAGCATGAAACAGCACAAGAGGACAGGGAAGAGCTTTAAATTACACAGGATAAAAGCTAGAGAAGAACTATGTTGCTGCGGCGTGAATGAATTGGGTGGTGTCAATTTCAACCTCGCCGCAACCAGACACATGTACTCGAAAATACCACCAAACCTCGCGTGGGCTGTCTCCCAGAGCAGGGTGACTGGCAACTCCAAGACACTGGTCATCAGGGTTCCTAGGGAGACGGTTTTGAGAAAGTTTAAACCGAATGCAGTCTGTTCGGGCTGCACTTCCTATGTAACCCGCATAGAACTTCGATCAAGACTACATGCTTCCAAACAGCCTAACCCCCGAACTCTTCATCTGTTTGCTTTCCCAGCAGCAACCATGAAGTAGGCCAGAGCCACGGTCGTCACGGTCACGGCCACCCAATACGTGATTTCAGTATCTCAGACATGGGTGGAGGGTACGTGGCGGAGGTTTTGGTATAAGATGAGACCTAATGTATATTCTATGAGGAATACACAGCGGAACTTTGTTCTAGGGAGTTATGAATCGTCGGACGGCCCACACAAGAAGCCATAAACACTGAAAAAAAAATGAGCTTGGGGCATCCTAAGCAAAATTCTCAGCTCTGCAGAGGAAACCAGGGTTTAGGATTATATGAGGGTTATACTGGGGCTTTATTAGGGTTATATTCAGGCTATATTAAAGTCATTTTTACCTGTTTGACGGATCCGGATAAACGTCAGCAGCATAAATCATCATGAGCCAGGCTAACATTGCATGCAAAACCCTAAATCCTAAACAATAGTTTCCATTTTCTTTTCCGTTATCCCTATATCATCCACATATCTACTTAAGGGGGACTGTAAACCCCCCAAACGCGAAGCCCTAAACCCTTAAGATTCAGTTTCCGTTGCAGTGACCGCTCTGGGCCCTCATCCACAAACCCCTAAATAGGAAACCTCAATCCCTAAATCCTATGGATCCACTGTGTTTCTGCGTCATGTCCATTTGATTCTCCATCACAATAACCAAATTCAAATTCAAGTTCCCTACATCCCAGGCGCGTGAATCCCCGAAACCCACACCAGAAATGCCCTAACCCTCCAAAAAGCAGCTTGGGAACTGGACGGTGGCCTGGCCTGCCCCCGAAGTAGATTTAATATTGGGGACAAGGATGTAGGATTTGGGATTTGGGTTTGAGGGGCTCGGAGGATTATTGGAGAAATTGCGTGAATAAGCAGGGCTATAGGTACCGCAAGTAAGCTTAGAACTACAATCGTCCTGCAGAGCCCCAAATGACATAAACCTGCAAGTAGCTGATGCTTGAAAGCACAAGCTTGGAACATGCTAACAATCTTTGATGATGGGAAGGACAATATCAGCCATGGTACTGCTGCTAGCAGTACTCAAGGCGGTGGAATGAGATCAGGGAAAGACAATTCTTTCTTTCAAATATCATAATATCATATGTCCTATGAATACTATGATTTTGTTGTTGTTATCACCACTACTATAGTTAATATTCTTTGCGTGTTTAAGGTGTGTTACTAGTGTGATCAATGTCACTGCATCTAAGAGTTACGAGCACACCTTGCGGGTAGCAAAGCTAACCTCTGTTGCCATAGCTTCGGCAATGTTGTGCTTGTTACTGCCCTTATCCTTGTTGCCATGCATGCTCTTGCTGGTACAATGATTATATTTTCAGTCGCAGGCTTTCGAGTGCCGCAATTATACGCCTGCTTCGAATAACGCTCGCTCGTCTGTTCTTTCAACGTTCACTCATTCACTCATTCAATCACTCATCAATTGTCTTACTGACTCATCAATCACTCACAGCTCACTCACTCATTCGTGAGCCGCGGCAACTGTCAATTCCTGATTACTGAGACTACCCTTCTCAATGGCGCCTTGACGGCGGGCTGCGGCGGCATTGGAGTCTGCATGGCGCTCAGCTTCCCCTCTTCAACCACACTAGCAGGACGAAGGGCCTAATCCCCACAAACCCCAAAAAGGCAAGCAAACCCTCTAAGCACCTGGGTACCTGCAGGTACGTCCTCCAGAGCTACGTGCTGTCTGAGCTGCTGCCCTTCCTAACTGCATGAGCTAGCGCACTGCGCAGCATCCAAACGTGCGACACTCACTCTCTGAGCTGTTGCCGCCAAATGCTTGCGGCAGGCGGCAAGTCATCGCAGCAAAACATGAACGGGCTGTCAAGCGCATTTCGAATATGACATGATAGAACCAAGTCATCCTTCTTTGCCTAAATGGCCTCTGACAAGGGGTGCGAAACCCTCTCAGCAATCACGTTCTCTGTAAGAAAACCAGTGATCAAAGATCCCAATGTTTAAAGCCAAGCAGTTGACGAAAGTGGAAATCTATTCACAGCTCAGAACTTATCAGGGCCTGTAACGGTGCCCCCTACACCCTAAACCCTAAACCTGCGTGCAACCAAACGAGGCCACTTCTGCCGAACTGACGCTTACTTGCTTTTGACAAAGCCTGTCACCCTCTTTGCCCGAACATAAATCCCCCATAATATTCCTATACCACACCTCAATGTAACCGTATATAGTCCATCTAACCCCCACACGTTTCAATACAACCCCAATATATCCCTGCAAAATCCCATATAACCCCGACATAATCCTATATTGTCCCTTACAATACCAGCCGTATATACATCTATACCATGATCCCTAAACCATAAACTTTGACCCTATATGGTAGTTTCCCAAAAGAGGGGAACCCAATATAAAGTCCAAGATGCTATAATCCTTATTATGGGGACCCCCAGAAAGGTACCCCAAATTTTGGGAAACCCTTAGCCCTAGGCGGCAATATTGGCCCTCGGGTGTTGGGGGTTGAGGGTTCAGGGACTTTTGAAAGGTCTTTCTGTCAAAGGTCTGCCAATTTAACATGAGAACCGAAGAGCTTTAGGTGTTTCTGGTGTATACTCCCCCTTAAGTAGATGGAATATGGCTTTGGGTATATTATAATAAGATCCCCATATACCAGTCCAAAATCCTTATTATGGAGACCCTCATATAAGTTATAGTCTTAACTCCTAGTATCCCCCTGAATAAGCCCTATAATACTCCTCTATCTACATAGTCCCCTATAACCCCCCTTTAAGGACTTTAGACTATAGCTCACATTGAACCCTAATCCCTATAAACTACCCTATAATCCAGTTTCCATTTCATGTTCCATTTTTCCATTTGATTCTCCATTATTGTGGGGGTAATATCCCAAAACCCCATAAAATCCCCGATATAACACCCCTTTAAGGAGTGAAGATCCTAGACCACATATAACCCCCTATACAACTCCCTTTCAGGATCATGTTGATCCGTGGAAGCAGCCCTTGAGATGAACCAGTCTGAGCTAGCCCACACAATGCCCGGCGCGTGCTTCTCACCGAACGCGCTTTTCAAAGTCTGCCGGGCGGAGAGGAACTGATATGACTTTAAGAAACTGATTTTTATTTCTATATATATGAGGGGTTCTATAAGAGAGATTACCACAACAGATAGAGAATCAAATGGAAAATGAAACGGAAGCTGGAAGTATATAGAGTTAGCGTGTCAAAAAAGAGGGATCGCCTTTGTGGGCTGTCCCCATAATCAGGATGATGACATGTTGGGGTCCATGTTTGCGGGCCCCTATTTTCTAGTTTCACGGTACTTGGAGGTTGATGGGTAGTTCTAAGTGGTTTGGGGTACTGAGAACTAGTAACTAGTTGCCCTGATTCATAACCACACACGAAGCATTAAGTAGTCGTGAAGAAATTCAGAAATGAACCTTGGTCTGGGTTCAAGTTTAAAGCTGCTGGTCAGGATTCTTTGCTGTTTGCACATGGAAGCCTGGGTTCTATGTTGGGCTTAAATGTTCAGAAAATGTGGCGTGATCTTCAACAATCTCTTTTGCTTTTAAGGCAGAAAACCCAGCTTATGCAGCCGAACGTGCCCAGATCAGGGGTTCCAACTTGTCCAACTTAGGTAGGTTCAAAAATGAATAAATACATACATATATTTATATATGCAAGAAAAGCCCTCCATTCAGAGCGTGGGTGTATTTGTCAAGGCTTCGTTGAAAGCTCATTCACAGCTTGCCCTTTCTTCCGTGAGGTTTCTTGGAATCCCAGTTTCTTTCTGATCATCCATGTATACGCAACATTCTGCCTTCCGCGTGGGCGAAACCTGTGATGCTGGGTATCCGACTTGGGGCCAGCAATTCCCTCAACTGTTGCTAAGCCACTTGTAACCTTTACCTCCACACCTCAACCCTATCCTCACCCGCAACAGCCTCAGCTGAAAAGCTAGAGATCCCAAGGTCCCGCAAAATAATGCTTTCGGAATCCTGAGGAGCCGCAGAATTCCTACACTGAAAGACTACGCGAGTACAGAATGACACAAAAAATCAGCGTAATCCAAAAGCCCACTACGAGCTATGGGCCGTTGATGCAATTCAAAAAGGTACTCCTAGGGTCGTCCTGGAAATGCAGGGATTGCAGATGTGCTCTTCTTCGGAACCAGTATGGGATGATTTTAATAAGCCCCCATAAGACCAGGCCATTGCTTGAGCATTTTGCTACCTGGCAGAAAGATGGCCCATCGGCCTCAAGCATGGCGCCATGGGCTGCAACGCAATGCAGCGACACAGGCCTCAGCTGACTCGTATCTTTGTTGTACCCATTGGGGTAATATTAGGGTTACATTGAGGTTATATTGGGGTAATATTAGGGTTATATGGGGGCTATATTGGTATAACGGAAAATAAAATGGAAACTACAATCTTGGCTGTAGGGGCTAACTCGAAACCAGTCAACCGCCAAAAGCAAATCCTAAACCTGAAACCATGAACCTCAAACTGCACAAGCCCGAAACACTAAGACCCTGACACCCTCAACCTACCCTAAGGCTTTGTACCCGAAACCCTTACCCCAAAATCCTGAATCCGAAACAACCCCAAGCCCCTAGACCTACAACCTTAAACCTGCACTCCCTGAGAGGGCATGCCTTTGGAGCTCCTTGGCCAGCTCCAGCTGTGGTCGGAGCACCTAGCCAGATTCTATGCTGTAGGGTGAACCAATATAGGTATATATGTACAAAGGGCTGGGGCTTGGGCTTGGGCACTAGCTTTTGGTGTTTTGGCATCTATTTTGGAATTTGGGATCTTCGTTTAGGGTTTGAGCGTTAAGGATCATGGTCTGGGGTTTAGGCTCTGGGGTCAGGGGCTTACAGGCCTGCAGTTGGGAGCTGGGTTTAGGGCGCAAGGATGTGATTCCGGGTTAGATCTTAGGATTCAGCGATAATGGCATCGATTTACGCAGATTCGGGCTTTGGGCTATGGGGATTGGAGTTTAGGGTTTAAAGGATGACCCTAAACCCTACACGCTCAACCCTGAACCCGAAACTTGGGATCTAAGGATTAGAGTTTGGGGATTCAACACTTGGTTACTAAGTCTTGGGGAATGCTTCCCCAGAATCATAATGATGAACCTGTAAAACCGCTCGAGCTGTCTAGAGTTGTAGAGGTCTGCGGGCAAGTTATAGGGCTGAATGGTTGTAGTTGTGAAGAGTTTGGGCGCCATGCCCCGTATGATTAGCAGAAGCTTCACATCTTTCAGATTACGTGCCCAAAGATATGGGCTTCCTCTGCAGATGGCCTTGTTGAGCATGACAATCACTGGTTGGCCATAAGGACCCTTCAGAAGCTAGGATAACCAAGTGAGGGCACAAAGAGACTGACAACATCTCCAAAACCCTTCCAGGCCTTCATTGCAACTGCTACTGGGAAAGGCTAGCGCTGGATTTGTTTGTTTCTGCCTCCCTGTTTGATCACGTCTGGCTGCCGATGTTGAGACATTACCCCGAGACCTCAAGTCCTCACCGCCCCTGACCACTACAGCCTAAAAACGAAGCAAAAATCTTCATGACGCCACGCCCGCTTCTTTCTCTGAAGTTGATTTAACACCCCAAACTCAGGAGTGTCCCGGGGCTGCCTTTATGTTCAGGCCACAGTTTCTCACGACCATCCACACGGACGTCATCACCAAAGTTTTTAGTCAGCAACGGGACATCCTGTCTCATTTTCTCAGCATTCCAGTTTGTGCTACCTGGAAGACTTCAGGCCCCTGCTTTGGCATAAACCTGCAGAGGACAGCGCCTTCAGCTGCAAGTCCATGGGAATATCCTGAGCAAACGCCGGTGCTTTGGGTTTTGACTTTCGGGCTCTAGGTTCAGGCTCCCCAAGCTTTGGTTTCAGGGACTTCAAATGACTTCAAACACCTATAATATCCTATAATCTTGGCCAAGAGCATCAATGAGCCAGTGAGGAATGCAAAATGAGCTTGCGCATACACCCGCGTCTCATGCTTGAATTGGGTTCTTGTTGGAATACCATTACAAATGATCATGTTGAATCTATATTGGGCCCAGGTATACATAAAAATAATTAAAAATGTGACATGTTCTTCAACAAGAACCCAATGAATTCCAAGGTGAGTCTGACTCCATACTTCACTGGGTCTCCTGCTGAGGTTTGAAAGGCACGGCAGGAACTGACCATGTGGCGTCAAAGCCCTCCTCCCCCCCACACCCTCGGAACCTGAATACCAGCAACCGCGCAAATCCTACGCTTTCCTACTTAAACCCGAAGACTCCCAAACAACCTCCTTCATCTCCAGACCCTGGACCTATAGGGGACCAAACACGGGTATGTAGGGGCATGCTAGGAAAGATGTAGGGGCTCTGCGGGGAATATATAGGGATACATAGGGATATTATCCCCAATACTGGAGAATCAAATGGAAAAGAAGGATGGACAAGAAAATGGAAAATCAAATGGAAAGTGTGAGTATCGGGTGTACAGGGATGAGGGTTTCCCTAACTAGGGATCCTTTTGGTGGGGCCCCATAACAAGGATTATGGCGTTTGGGGTGTACATTCTGGTCCCTGTTTTGGAAACTCTCCGATCCCCAAAGGCTTCGCAAGCATGAATCGGCCTCCTTCCTAGGAACTGTTGGAATCCCTTCATACTGGCCAAAAGCCCTTCGGTGTGGGGTTTAGGGTTTAGTGTTTAAGGTTTTTAGATTTTCAAGGGCCATAGGGGGCCTGAAACATCCGAAGAGCCTTTCGAATACGACGTACATACTAAGCAAAGAAAGAATTACACTACCAAATGTAAGGATTCTACATTACCTAAACGCGAAAATAAGAGCTCAGGCCTAAACCCTGAAACTTCGACCCCTAAAACCCTAACCCTTACCACTAAACCTCATAGTACCCCAACTTGGAGGGCCGCCTTCTTGCGCGCACCGTCGAGGCCACACTCACCAACGCCAGCGCCGGCGTTGTTTGTGAGGAGGCTGCGAAGCCTGGGTCATCGGTTGGGGTTCAGCGTTAAGGGCTCAGAGTTAAGGGTTAGAGCGTTAAGTAAGGGTTTTGGGGGCACCTCTTTGATCCAAATGCGGTTTTGGGGTGCCTTACACTACAAAAAATAAAAGAATTCCAGGCAACAAGGGAATAAATATGACAGATTCAGGTTTCTACCTTACCCTTCCAAGATTAAAATGGAAACCCATGAAGAGCCTGGATCCTGCTTGAAGCTCCATAGAATTGCTGTAGCTTCCCCTTGTTGTCACTGAGGCGGGATGCTCAGACCCTAAACCCTTCACAATCAATATTACCCCAACATAACCCCAGCGTAACCCCTGCGTAACCCCAAGATAGCACTAATATAACCCTAATGCAACAATAATAGTAGTATGAGGTAAAAATCCACACATAATTCCAGGAGGCAGGAGAGAAAATGGCACAACGCTTGTTCCCCAACTCCGAGATAGGGTTGTCCAGACATATTCCCTATAACCCTTGTACATCAACCTCAGTGGGGATTCACATGTACCAGGCAAAATATGCAAGGTAAAACGTGCCGCACTTGCGGGTATCAAGGTGCCTAGCTGACCAGCCCCTTAAGGCCCAGTCCCTGTCGCGCCTTGAAGCCCTCCTTGCCGGTAACCTTGGAGCCTGAACCGTGAACTCTGAAACCTTGTCCTTTGGGTTAGTGGGGAATAAGGGAATAAAATCCCTACGTGATATATTCACCTCTTCCCTAGTAACTAGAATCTTGGAGACCTTCTCCAAAACCTTGGTTCAGGCCTTGAGCAAAGAGAGGCAAAATTCCAATCAGACCAAGACACTTCTCCACCCATTCATCGTTGGCTCTGTGCGACATGGCCCACCTTAATTGCTGCAAGTCCCCCTAGAACTTTAGCAAACACACTGTTCAACATGATTCCTTCGGAGTGTACTAATTGATAAACCCCCTCCTTGTAAGGGCCTTAATATTAGGATTTCCATTATAACCTCCATTAGGGGGAGGGGGTTTAGTAATCTGGGGCCTGGGTGAATCAGAATGGAAAATAATTCCTAAGGAGACTACCATTATTCTATAAACCCTTACACAAACCCAGTATCCATTTCATGTTCCATGTTCTTTTCCATTTGATGCTCCATTATTTGGGGATAATATCCCAATATAGCTTAGGAGGACCCCCCAACCTGTAATAGTGGTATAATAGGAATATAAGAGGCCCCTAATATAATCCCTATTATCCCTTATAACCACTATTACTGGGTGGGGGGTCCACTTAAATATAGCCTTAAACCCTTGACCCTATAAACCCCAATGATTCCTAAGAAGACTCCAGGCTGGACGAAACTGCTTCCTGACTGGGGGGTCGCTTGGCTCTGCGTGAAGACTACCTCAAAATGAACCCGGAAGTAAATCCATCGTTTGCATCATCTTACCACTTGAGCCCTAGTCTTAACTCTTAGCATCCCCCTTAATAATCCCTATACTAATCCCCGATACAATCCCCATATAACCCCTGTAAGGAGGTTAGACTATAACTCACTTGAGTGTCAGGGTGTAGGTTTAGGACTTAGGCAATCAGTAGCCCAGATGGCAGGTGTGTTGCAATCAAAGGTGATGAACAACATTGTGTGTCATAGGTCAAAAGTACTGCAACTTGTTTCACTCACGGTACTTTAGCTAGTGTGGACTTCCATACGAAGGTGCCGCCTCAGTGAGGGTCCTTGGCCAAGCTGGGGAGAAGAGCAGTGTTCTGCTTTCAGATGTGGGAGTCGAAATAGCTGACAGAGAACTTGAAGTATGCTTGGACACTATGTCACACAAGGACGAAAGGGAATCTGACGGGTGGCCATTCAGGTTTCTACGTGAAAGCGTGAAAGCCTGCACAGACCTTTACAGTGAGGATAATGACTGGAACCCGAATCTCTCAACCAATCCCACCCCCCTCCATTCTGTCAGATCCTCCCAAAAGCCTCTGAAAGACAGAAATGCTGCAGACGCCGACTAACGCACAAAATACAGCTTCTTGGCAAGAAGTTAAAGATTCCTCAAAAGAGACCTCCAACATACTACCACGCTCATTTCAAGGTACCCCGAATTTTTAGAGACCCCCATGTTTCCACTATAGCAATCTTGTAGCTCCTACCGAGACCCCTGCCAAGGATGTACTCCGAACTGCGGTGCCACGAAGTCTGGGAAGGCCTGTGCCAGCTCTTCCACCTCTCCAGAGAGGATTTCTTCAAGGTTCAACTGACTTGCTGTTTTGGTACTAGGGAATGATGGAATAGAAAATGAATGGAAGCTGCCACATTCATGTGAATGAAATGGGGGGCGATTCTGGCTATCCATTCCTCAATTATCCAAAAAGAACGCAAAGCTCACAATAGTATCTGTGGTGCAAGCCTGGAATGGTTACTCGTAAGGTTTAGGGGTAAGGGTTGCAACTTACAGTCAGAAAGACACACAAAGCCGAAGCATATGAATACGGACTCCACGTTGCCAGTATGATTATGACGAACATGGTTGATGCTACCCTAGCTCTAGGACAGGTTGCCATGAAGGAAAGAAGAGCTTTCACTTTCTCTACAGGGGTCATAAGCGATGTTCTCAAAACTGCTTGCACATATGCACGTACCGTGGTATATATATATATATGTATATACATCTATCTACCTGTAACATATATATATACATATATGTGTATATCTCTCTCCCCCTAATATACCTCCGCATACCCCTATAGCTGTATTCCTCGGGCCTTTGCCCAGTCCGCAGCTTCGCAGCCGCAGACGGCGGCGGCGGCCACGCCAGCGGCTTTCGCCGCTGCCACGGCTGCCGGCGCCTGAGGTTCAGCACTTCAAAAAGGGATTACATAGGGGATATAGGGGATTGTAGAATATAGAGTTTAGGGTTTAGGGTTCATGGAAAAAGGGCTTAGGGTTCAGGGGTTTAGGCGATAAGTGTTTGGAGTTCAGGGTTTTGGGGTGTAAGCGTTGCGGCTTTACGAAGGGGTTTAGGGCAAAGGGTTGAGGATTCAGGGGTTTGGGCTTTGACTGAGTGTTTCCGGTGTACGCTTAGGTTTGGGGTTTGGTGAAGGTCTTGGGGTCAGGTCTGGAGTAGACGGCTTATGGGTACGGCGGGTGTTTAGTTTTTACCGGTTCGGTTTGAAGTTTTCGCATTCAGGGCTTACGCTTGGGACCTTGGATAATTTGCATGTCAGATCTCTGTGGAAAAAGAATGCGGATTTGGTAGGTCTGTCCGTCTAGGAGTTTGAGTTTGAGGTTCAGCCATTTGAGTTTCGGGTAGGCTTCTGCAACTCTCACGTGCAGCGGGAAGTTCACGAAAGAATCATAGGCCCCGGACCCAGCTCACCGATTATCCCTAAAGGTGAATGTCTGGGAGGAAAACACTGCTCTGGGGCTAATAGGGGATCTTAGTATTTGCTATGACAAGGCAGCTGTACATGCAGTGATGAGTTGCAAAAACACGCCGCAGCTCTAAGTCTCAACATTCTGCTGAAGGTGGACGGGGCTTAAAGGATTTATAGATAGAGGGGGTGCTGTAACCCCTGCTAGGCGGTGAGCAGCTGCACCCACGACAACATGCATCAGACACCCCGTCAAGCAAAAGCAGTTGGACCCGCGACTAAGAAACCAACAAACCACGACAGCAACATATTCAGACTTTTTTGAAACTCGCTCGCCTGAGTACCCGTACTCTGCGAGAGCAGCACTGCTGTACACCCCTGCCGACTCAGTACTTCAGTTTGGTGAAGCCGTAACCATTGTTGATCATGAGGGTCCTGAGATAATGTCGAACTTTCATTCTGGCATGGAAAAAGCTTTTCCCTCACCAGCAACCCATGGGAATCAATTTTTTGGATGACTAAGGCCATAAAAGCATACAAAAATTGGATTCCCACCTGTTTTCTTGTCCCCTACCACTCCCTCCTTCTTTTCCTTGTGTGGCCTGACCAGCAACCCGCGGGAATCCGCTTTTTGGATGGTTCAGGCCATCAAAGCACTCAAAAACTGGATTCCCGCCTGTTTTCTTGTCCCCCACCTTCCCTTCCTCCTTTTCCTTGTGCGGCCTGACCAGCAACCCGCGAGAATCCGCTTTTTGGATGGTTTAGGCCCTACAAGCATTCAAAAACTGGATTCCCGCCTGTTTTCTTGTCCCCCGCCTTCCCTTCCTCCTTTTCCTTGTGTGGCCTGACCAGCAACCCGCGGGAATCCGCTTTTTGGATGGTGCAGGCCATGAAAGCACTCAAAAACTGGATTCCCGCCTGT